CTATCCCGGGACCCTAAATACCGAAGGGGTTAGCTCATGAAAAGCCAGACAATAATCCATCAATGAGAGAACTTAGATTCGATAAATACTTACTAAATTAAGTTTTTAAAAAACCCTTAAGATACTCAAAGGTAGGTAAATCTTCTCAAAGAGACAGAAACTTTCCTATAAGATAGAAAAGATTCTAATTTGAGAGCTAGGAATTACAGGCAACTATATCTTTTAGATAAAAGATCTTTCTTTCTGACCCCAGGGGGCAAGGCTAATGCTGGGTGAAACCCACCTACCATTTTTTCTTGGCTCCCTTGGCAGCCCCTGTTAGCAGCCTCCTGCTTGTCTCCCTGAGGACCAGAGCAGGGTGGTGGGTGAAGGTGTTTGCCGCTCTGTAGGTCAGGGACAGCAAAGCCCTTTCCTGCTGTATGCTACCTGAGTGCCTTTGAAAGGGGACACGGCCTTTCATTTCAGAACTAGAAGCTTAAAAGGCAAATATGTCTGTGGTGGTCAGACTAAACCTCAGACTTGTTCCTTCCCCAGAGCCTAAAGACACAGCCGGCAGCTGGGCAAGGGCTATCAACCAAAGCAGGGGAATAGTCCAGGTAGGATAACAAGATGGGCTAGTGCCTCTGGGTTCAAATCCTGCTCTGCTGCCACTCACTGTGTTTTCATGAGTCAATAACGTAATCTCTCTGGGCTTCTTCTCTCATCAGTACAGTGGGAACTATGCCTCCTCTAGGTTATGAAAATTAAATGGGGAAATACATTTAAAGTGCTTTGTTTGCCTAGGCCTGGCATATTGTGATGGCTGCTGTTTATGTTGGTGTCGATGTTATTATTCACCCTTGACCTTTGCACAGCACTTCACGGTTTACAGAGCTCTTTTGTCGATGTCATCTTATTTGGTGGCATAGGAGAGAAGCTGGGAAGGGATTGTTCACCTCATTTGAGAGATGAGAGAAAGGTCCTCAAGACAGGCTCGTGAGCAGCAGAGCTGGGGGTTGTCTGACTTCTGGTCAGCTGTCCCATCCCCTGTCCCACACCACTGCCTTCAGATATAAGGGGCAGGTACAGGCCCCTTCCCACCTCACTGGAGAAACCCTGCAGGAAGCAGAGAGCACTGAGGGTCTAGATAAAAGAAAGAGACTAACTTTTGTTCAGTGGCCACTGTTCCAGGGTCTTTATACTCGGCACTTCCTTTGTTCTCACAACTACCCAGGACTCAGGAACTTTGTTCCCGTTTTGTAGATGAAGAAACTGAGGCTCAGAGAAGTTAAGTAACTTTGCCAAAGATAGACCTCCAGTCTAGAATCAAGAGGGGCTCCAGCCCTGGGGAGCAGTTAGCCCCGAGAGGGGACAGGGGAAGGAAGGCGGATGGGCAGGCCCACTAACTTTCCAGCGAGGCCCAGAACTGGCCCTCATGTGTGCTGCTCTCAGGTCTGGGTCCTGCTGGTTCTGGGGCTGGTTCTTATCAGGAAGATTCCGGGTCTGTGCAGGACTGAATCTACTACCTGCTTCACCCCCAAGGGACAGGGCCCATGAGGAGTAGCCTCCAGTCTTGGGCTCTGGCCTTACATCCACCTCATCTCTGAGGGTCCAGATATGGATGGGGAGCTGCCCTGAGCTGGGCATGGGACAGCCAGAGCCGTGCATTCCTCCCTTGACCCAGGGCCAGGCTCTAGGGGTAAGAAGGGGCCCCACTGCAGGGTTTTGAAGTCAGGCAGCGCTGGCATGCAGCTTATCATCCGTGTGGCCTTGGACAAGCGACCCGGCTTCTCTCCAGCTTAGTTTCATTATCTATAAAATGGGGATAATGGTGCCACCTAATACACAAGGGTCCTGTGATTACTGACTTGCATGTGATGGTCAGAGAACTTAGCCCAGAGCCTGGCGCCTAGTAAGAGCTCAGCAAAGCAGAGCTGCCTTTCTTGGCATGGTACGTGAGTTCCAGCCCAGACTGCTCCCTAACAAGCCTGTGACTGCAGAGAAGCTGCTCAGCGTCTCAGCGCCCCAGCTCTTCACCTACAAAGTGGGAACTAACTCAGAGCATTGGGAGGGATGCTCTAAGGTTTAATGGAGTGGTTGAAGGAGTAATTATTGCTTATTTCATTTCTTACGGGAGCACTGATGAGTACCAGTTATCAGGGAAGGAGGTGCGGGCCGTACCCACAACCGTGCTGGGCCGTTTACTTGCTTTATCAGCCACGGTGTAGGCTGTCTGTACCCATTTTACAGATAAGACTCACAAGTACAGAGACAGTGTACTTCCTAGGAAATGGGGGAGTAGGGCCTCAACCTGCATTCTTTTTCTGCTGATTCTCCACTGAGTCAGAGTCAGCATACAGAGGCCGTGGAGCGACCACAAGTGGTTCGCCAACCTCTTTTCCCCTGTGGCTGCTTGACTGAACTCTCCAGGCTGGAGAAGACCTGGCCCACCAGGTATGATGAACACAGGAACCAGGGTCACTCTCATGTCATACTGATCAGGAGCTTCCCAGAATGTACGTCCTGGGGGCTCCTCCCTCCAGGCTCAGTCTTGGGAGCTAGTTTGGAAAGGGCCTCTCACCTGTGGGCCTTGATACCTGGAAACCCCTGCAGGAGCAGGAGGCAGATAAGTGGGTGACAGAAAACTGCAGGAACGTGGGCTAGTTAGTGCATTCTTAGGCTGAAGGCCAAGCTGGTTTCAGCTTCCGCAGGACAGGGTGTCAGACAGCAGGCCTCAGGAGGGAGCCGAAGCTAATGCGGATTAGAACAGGAACGGGGGTACCTGGGCCGTCTGAGCTGGCCTGGGGTGAGCTTCCTTAGGTGGAAGGAGGAAAAGGGACGTTAAGAGTACCATGAGGACTGTGTCAGCTGGCCAGGCAGAACAACCATTGCCATCAACTCGTGTGTACGCTTGGGGACGCCATTCCTTTCTGTGAAGAGTGAATTTACCCTAGCCACCTCAGAATACATCCAGGCAGATCTGTAGCAAGTGGGTTGAATTGGGCCAAGTGCCACCATGGCCTGTTCTTGTACCTGCTGGCTGGAGGGCAGTGACATCAGCTGCATGAGATGCAGATGCCTCACCCAAGAGACACTCTTGATGCCCACCCAGGCTGCCAGCTTGAGTTGTCCTCATAGGCTTGGGGAGATAAGAGTATGACCTCAGTTCATCAGGAGAGGGATCACCTCTTAGGCGGGGCCTTGCCTTAGGCTTTCTAGCTTGAGGTGTTCGCACAGACTATTCTGCCATCTAGAGTACCTACCCCCGCACCCCGCCCTCAAACTCATTTCCTCCATTATGCCTTCCCTGGCTACCAAAAGGCCTCTCTGGACTTGAGCTACAATTACGTTTTGTGTGTCTGTCTTATTTACTGTATTTTATATTATAAGATTAACGCATGCAAAATAAAATTAACACCTGCTTATTGTAACAATTCGAGCAACACAAGGTTCCATAAAGAAAAGATGAGCAGCCTTCCTTCCTTCTGCCCCTGACACCAGTCTCCCTGAGAAACACATACAGAGTCATTCCCAGAGCATTGAATTTGTCTGTGTCAGTAACTTGGCAATTAATCATGTCTTCTGTGATATCTCTTGTATTTTTATTTTGATTTATTTTTCTAGTACTTACTGTCAAATGTAGCTTCATCTTCCTGTGTACACTGGAAACTCTGCAGACAAGATCCACACCTGAAATGCTTTCTCTCCACTGTGTGTCTACAGCAGCGGGGTCTTTTTTCCCATTTGGGGGATGGTTGAATGGACAGATGGATGAATTGATCCGAGGAGGGGAGTGGGTGTCCAGAGCTGCTTAGGGGCGACTGGACTGCTTTAGGTCTTCCTCTGGGTTTTTTTTTTTGAGCCAACCTGCAGGCAAGGATAGGAAAGCAGAGAAAGCTTAGGCTCCTTTCCTGGCCTCAGCCACTCACTTGTGTGACCTTGGATAAGTTACCCCACTTCTTGCCTGTAAATTGAGTGTGATACTAATAACACCCACTGGTGGACATTGTTATGACAAGATGCACACACAACTGTGCCCACACACAGAGGAGCAGTTCATTTTCTCCAGGAGGCCGAAGGATGGCTGGGCTCAAGTTCCAACGAGTCCCCCGTTAGCTCTGCCTCCCTGGGCAAGTTCTCTGTTTCCTTGGGCCTTGTTTTTCTTCTCTGTGAAATGGGGTGATACTGTGCACCTCGGGATGTCAGGGTGGTGATGAAAAGATCTCAGCACAGGGCCTGGCCTGCAGTAGGTGATGGTATTATCATTCTTTTTTGTTCTCCTGTAGAAAAAGGCACTCTTATCAGCTCCCTACTTCCCCTCACAGAATGGGACTCCTGAGGGCTGTGACTGAGTTGAGCCTGTGGTTTTATCTAAAACAAACACTGGTCCTACCCTGATGTGGCATTTCCCTGCTTCCCCCGTGCCCCATGTTCCTGGCCAGACATCTCCCGGCAGCACAGGGGGCCACAGAATTCCCAGTAACCCCATCCCTGCAGCCGCCCAGCCTCCTGGGCGTTTGTTTCCCCTGGCGGGGGGCGGGGGGACGGCGGCCGGCGGGGGGTGATGTGGGAGAGGCCAGTCCAATATAAACTCCCAGAGGAAAAAGAGAGTCGATTAAATGGTGTGCTGTCTTTCCTCTCTGTGACTTTGGGGAAATGACAGGAAGTTTCTAGAACTTGGCGTCCCTGGAAGGAAGTACCCAGGCAGTTGGGAGCCCTGTTATCTGGCCCTGGGCTGCCAAATTATTTCCATACCACTGGGGCCCTGGAAGTGCCACCATCTCCAAAACATGGCCCCAGCTCAGTCCTGGAAACCACCCTGTTCCTCCTCGCCTGTTCCCATAGAACCTTCTTCTGGGAATTAAACCCAGGCAGAAGTGTCTTTAAAGGAAACCAAGCTTTTCCTAATGAGAAAACTGTGGCTGATTTCACTTGGAAACCAAGCCTCTTCCGTCATTCTGAAATGATTGATATATTTTCTGTGGAGCTCCCAGAACACTCATTCATTCATTCACCCATTCATTCATTCAGTAGTGACACATCGTACACTAACTGCTAGAGATCGCTTGGTGCTGGGGATTGTGTAAGGAGTAAGACAGTCTTTTCTCGTGGAATTACATTCCAGCAGGGGAGACAAACAATAAACAAATAAGTGAGTAAATAAATAATATAGTCGTGAAGAGTCAGGACTTTGAAAAAATTAAGTAAGATTCAGGGCCTGAGAGGGAAGAGGAGGCCAAGAAGAGATGGGCTTTATAAAGAGGGGACGTATTTGAGCAGAAACTCGAATTAAGTGAGAGAACAGACCACAGGGGTGTGAGGGGAAGAATGTGGCAGGCGGTGGCCCCGGGGCCGGAGGCAGGAGACAGGCTGGAGGTGGCAGCTGGGAGGGGCAGGGCCTAGATCGCCCAGAGCAGTGTTTCTCAACCTTTTTTCATGATCGCCCCCTCCTAAAATTTTAATTCTACAAATATACTGTATACCCGTTAGATACTATAGGTACACAAAGAAATTGTTTCTACTCCCTAAGAACTAGTTCTCTCTCCTTGGAGGGGGTGATATTGCCCCTGTGAATTTATAGTCTAGGGCCTCATAGGCAGTCTTAAGGAATTTGTATACTCCAGAGATATGTAAGTTCAGAGTAGCTCAGAACAACAGCTCCGTGAACTCCCCACCCAGACTTCCACGTGGAGCCCTAATAGACATCTCCTACTTAAACCATCGAAAACTGAACAGCTCCTTCGCCTCCCGCCCTGCCCCGTCCCAGCCTCCCGAGTCACAGTCAGTAGCAGCTCCGGCCACGGAAGCGTGGCCACAGGGTTGACTGCCCTTTCTCCCCACTCCCACCTCTTCCCGCCCCCCTTCTCTCTGCCACCTGGCCCAGGCCCCCTTCACCTAGCACAGACTGTGGCAGTGGCCTCCCACCTGGCCAGTTTACGCCTGCCAGGTAGTGAGGAGGGAGGAGAGGAGGGGGGAGGGTGGGCTGCAGTTGTCCTGGTGGACTGTGTGAGCCAGAGGGAGGCAGGTGGAGCAGTGGACGGGCTTTACCTCCTCCTGGGCTCCTGCGCTAGCCCGCGTCAGCGTCAGCGTGGGAATGCAGGGTGTGCAAATGCTAACTCCTAGTGGGGCCCTTACTCTTGTCCCTTCCTGCCCCACCTGCCCCATTTCCTCCCTGTGCAAATGTGCAGCAGGCACCAGCCTCATCACTCTCTTGGCCCCCAGATATGATGTCTTTCCTTATCAGAAGCAGACACTGGGCTCTGTTCTTTCAGCAAACGTTGCACAGGGCTACTGCCTGCCCACCCGGTGCTGGCGGACAGAGACGACACAGCCCTCACGTTCACTCCGCGTTCAGCGCATCCTGAGAGCTCAGGCAGGGATCCCCATGCCTCCCCTGCCATCCTCTCTCAAGGCTTCTGGGACGTCCCCCTCATAGCATTTGTCCCGCTGTGCAATCAGAGGCCTTTGTGATTATCATATATGGCTGTGTGTCTCGCTCACCAGGCTGCGGGCCTTAGGCAGGCAGACTCGTGTCTGTGTTGCTGCTCACGGTACCGCCACAGCCAGCCTGGCAGCCACCAAACCGCAGGAAGTGGGCCTTAGGCAGGCAGAGGGCCTGGCACCTCCCTCCCCCAGTGCCCCAAGGCCACTGTGTTGCTGCTCACGGTACCACCACAGCCAGCCTGGCAGCCACCAAACCGCAGGAAGTCTCAGGGTGTGGAGCTCAGAGGAGGGGAGTTTGCGCTGGTCAGGAGCAGCCCGGCTGGTCAGGAGCAGCCCATCGGAGAGAGAGGGAGGAGAGAGGGAAAAGAGAGGGAGGAGAGAGGGAGGAGAGAGGGAGGAGAGTGCGCTGGTCAGGAGCAGCCCGTCGGAGAGAGAGGGAAGAGAGAGGGAGGAGAGAGGGAGGAGAGAGGGAGGAGAGAGGGAGGTTGGATGTGTTCCCACCCCTCCTTGTGATCATTTGGGGATTGTGTGCAGGTGCTGGGGGGCGGGAGGCGGGCAGAAACCTGGAACTTGCTGTAATGAGCACAACCTGCCTGTCCCTGGAGCCTTTCTTTGGGTCTCTTATCTCAGTGGCCTTGGGGCACTGGGGGAGGGAGGTGCCAGGCCCTCTCATCGGCCGAGCACACAGGGTGCACCTCCCCCGATGCTGGCTCTGGCATTTCAGGGTCACGGCCAGAGCCAGATGTGGACAGTGAGACGCCGCTTTCTCTGGCAAGCTGTCGCGATTCTCTCTCTTCTCTCTCCTGTTTTCCCTTCCAAGAACCTAGCTGCCAAGAGGTGTTGTCATAGAAACACAACCCCTGGGAAGGGATGGGGAACCCCCCTTTGTTTTTCCCGATGTTCTGCTTCCTGAGTCTGAGGAGCAAGAAGCCCCAGCTCTCCCCAGTTTTCCCCTCCCCAGCAGGAGGCTTTTCTCATACTCCAGTGGGACATGGGGGACACGTAGGTGTTTCCGGTGGTCTCCATAGCCCCTTGCAACTCAGGCCCCTGGACTTCTGTGTGTGACCATGCCTCCCTTCAGACTACCCCATCCCCTCTTCAGGGCTGTCACCCTGTCTTCAAGACGGAGCCTGATGCTCCCTGATGCTGGTTGTGATGATAAACTGGCTGGGGGCGGGGGGTGGTAGTGAGCTCTAGGGCTGAAGACCTGAAAGCTGATGAGTCAGGAAGTGACTCGTACCCTTCGCACCCACTGGCCAAGTGGATTTCTTCAAGCTGCATATCCTTTTATGCTTACTTTTCCTCAAACTCTCCAACTCCCCCCGCCCCCCCAAATCTAGTGCCCTTTCTCTGCATTTCTCCTGGTGAATAACTTTTCATCTTTCACAAGCAGCTCAAATAAAATGGCCTTGGAGGGTCCCCGGCCCCACCCTCCCCTGCCCAAGGGCTAGACTTTTCTCTGAGTTCCATATCCATTTGCATTAATAAAAGCACTTTGGTGTCTCTTGGTCAGGCCTTTGTACATCTGTGTTGACCATTAGCCCTCGAGCTCCTTGGGGTAGGGAGCTGGTCTTATTCACGACTGTAAAACCTGGTACCCAGCCCCGTACCTGGCACCCAGTAGGTGCTCAGTCTTGAGGCTTTCATGAATGAACCTCTTGAAAGATGGCCCCTGAGAGAGGCCTCGGAGGCTGAATGGGCGTTGACTCTGTCCCAGGCAGAAGGGACAGATGGGCTTTTTCTCGATGTGTTTACTCGGTTGCCATCTGTGTCCTCGTGCTGGAAAAGCAGCTCTGTGAGGACAAGGTCGTTGTCTTTGCATTGCCAAAGCTTGCACAGAGCCTAGCACAGAGCGAGCATCTAGTATCTGTTGAGCAAAAAATGGATAACGTTCTGCCAGAAAAGTCTTCGTGGAGGTGGGGTTGGGTGGGAGGGGCTCTTTGAAGGAAGCAAAAGAAAGAGTCAGTTTCCAGGAGAGACGAATACAGGATGAAGAAACGTGGTGGGAGGAGCTAGGAGTAAGAACCATCCAAACCTGTAGAGAATCTTATCTGAGCTAAACTGAAGACAATTGGTGGGAAGCAAAATGTCAACAGATTAAGAAAATACTCCGGAGTTTACTTTATACGTTAGAATCACAGGAGGAGACGTAAGGAGATCCACTGGTGGTAAATTAAGGGGGCAGGAGAAGGCAAAGTGGGGAGAGAATGTCTGGGATTGGATTACAAGTAAAACAGAGACACGTATTTCTGTTACGTTGGTGGGTACAGGGTTGTTAACAATGAACATTTATAGCACATGGAGAGGGTATGTAGGGACCAAGACAGCACTGAGGGGTCTGTGGCCTCTGCTCTGGTGCAGCGGTTGTGCCCTGAGGGTCTGGAAAAGGAGATGACTCCGACATTTCAAAGATATATTATCTGAGATACAAAAAGACACTAAACAGGCTCACTGCAGGTAAAGACCGACCTTTGTCAAGGAAGCTACAGGCCTATGACATGACTGCACGCCACGCCTCACATTCAGTTAGGAATTTTTATGTCGAGGCCATCCTGTGTGGTTACTTTTGGTCTCTGAGTTTCTAAGGCCCGCCCTGAGCTTGTCAAGTTGAGTGTTTGGCCCCTTTATCATGCACACCAGGGAGGGAGCAAGCTGGACAGAGGAAACTGAGGGGAGCGGGGACTCCGTCAGGGTCCGGAGACAAAGACTCAGGCACAGGAGTCCTGGTAAATAGTAGGTTCTTTGTGACCTGAGCAGCAGGAAGTGGTCACCTTCACTGGGTACAGACGGGACCTTCCCCAGTGCTTGTGTGTGTACGGGAGCGTGGCCTTCAGCAGATGGTATCTGGACCAGGGCACTAAGGACAGGGAGAAGGGGATCAATTCTCCCGCACGTCCCCATGTAAGGAATTGAGATGCTGCTTGCCAGGTTTAGAAAGGGAAAAATGGCAGACGGCCTCCTGAGTCAACTCTCAGTGTGATGAACACACCCGGCCCCCACAGGAAGGGGAAAGTAAATTCGTAATGACTGAGGCCTTTAAAGCTCCCGTCCAGTTCTGCTCTTTACCACAAGAAAGGCCATCTGGGATCTGAAAACCAGGACAGGCCTCTGTCCCATGCACCAGACTGGGGTGTTTGGGCCATGCGTTGGCCATAAGAGAAAGCCGACTGTCTCCTGCCAGGTGGCCCATGCTGCCAACCTAGGGGCAGTATACTCTTACCTGCGATCATCCAAAAGTAGAGAGTACTTCCGGTGTGCCAGTCTTTGCCTGGGGACAGTCACATACCTGCTCCCACCGAGTTCCTTACTGTTGCCCTGACGGGCAGAGCCCTAGCTCTGCTTCCCGCTGA